AAGATCCAACACAAGAACAAAGTAGTAAAAGCAGTTAAAGAAAAGAAACAAATCACATACAAAGGAAACCCCATTAGAATCACATCAGACTTTTCAACAAAAACCCTCAAGTCAAGGAAAGCATAGAGTGAAATATTCAAGCCCTGAAAGAAAACAACCTTCAACTCAGATTAATGTATCCTGAAAATCTATCTTTCAAAATCGATGGAGAGGCCTGGGGATTTAGCTCAGTGGTTTCAGCGCCTGCCTCACAAGTGCAAGGTCCTGAGTTTGATCCCCGGTACCAAAAAAAAAAAAAAAAAACAAGAAAAAAACCACATACAAAATCGATGGAGAAATAAGATACTTTCATCACAAAGAACACCTGAAGAACTTCATGAATGCCAAACCAGCACTCCAAAAAATTCTAAATAATATCCTAGGGTAAGACAATGAGGGTCACAACTCCATGAATCCCAACAGAAGGAATATATCAGGCAAGATAAGAAATTAAATGCAAGGGAGAGGGAACCAACAACAGGAAAATATCATGAGAAGGATAAGTCAATACATATCAGTTATAACCATCAATGTTAATGGTCTCAATTCACCAATCAAAGGAAATAGACTGGCAGAATGGATCAAGAAGCAAGATCCAACAATATGTTACACAGAAGAAACACAACTCAAAAAGAAATTCATAGAATGAAAGTTAAAGGGTGGAAAACAATACTCCATGTATCAAGAACCTGAAAAAAGCAGGAGCAGCTATCCTATTTGCCAACAAAGAGGATTTCAAACCAAACTAATTAAGAGAGAGAAAGAAGGTCACTACATTCTTGTAAAGGAAACATTCCAAGAGAAAGAGATGACAATCATAAATATATATGCACCAAATATTAGTGCAGCCAAATATATAAAACAAATATTAACAGACATGAAAAATGAAGTAACCATTAATACAATAATAGTGGGGGGACCTCAATACTCCACTATCACAAATAGATCAATTAGACAAAAAAATCATCAATGAAATACAAGAACTCAAGCAAACTCTTGAACAAATGGACTTAATAGGTGTTTAGTGTTCCACTCTATAAAATCAGAATACACATTCTTCTCAGCTACACAAGGGTCATTGGCCAAAATAGACCACATACTTGCTCACAGAACATGTTTAAGTAAATACAAAGGAATTGAAGTTATTCCCTGTATATTATCAGATCATAGTGCAATGAAATTGGAGATCAATAGCAAAAGAAGCCACAAGAACTTCATAAACACATCAAAATTGAATAACACCCTGCTGAATAACAAGAAATTAAAGAAAAAATTAGACAGTTTTGACAATTAAATGAAAATGTGAATACAACATACCAGAATTTATGGGACACAATGACAGCAGTCTTACGAGGAGAATTCATAGCAGTGAATACCCATATTAAGAAAATAGAGCGAGCTCAAGTAAACAATCTAATGCTGAACCTCAAGCATCTAGAAAAAGAAGAGCAATACGAACCCAAAGCTTATACAAGGGAGGAAATTATAAAGATCAGAGCAGAAATCAATGCAATGGAGACTAAGAGAATGATACAAAAAAATCAGTGAAGCAAAGAGTTAATTCTTCAAAAGAATAAACAAAATTGACAAAGCTTTAGCCAGCCTTATCAAAAAAAAAAAAAAGGAACAAAAAGGCCCACATCCATGCAATTAGGAATGAAAATGATGAAATTACA